CCTTCGTATTCTAGGAAGTCAGGATACTCAGGCGAACGGATCTGGCAAACAGTCCAAGTTAACGCAAGCAATCAATGGCAGCTTTGCCTGTCCTGTGGGTTAAAGATTCGGGCTCCAAGACATTGCTTTGATAATCTAAAAACACAATTGCTACAGGTAGAATCTAGCTGTCAGTGAACCACAATAATATTTAAGTAACTGACACCAGGTACTTTGTTTCATCTCCAAAGAATTTTTGCACACGTTTTCTGTTTTAAATTCTACAATGTTCATGGCCCTTTGTAAATAGGCATCCTGCTGGCGTGTGGTACTTTCAAACTGTTACATCTTCTGAAGGACTTGGTAGATTTATCAAAATCCATGTTTTTAATTGAACAAATAATTTTTCTTGAAGCTACTTTATCTTAATAAACAGGGGTTTTTTTTCCCCATTTTAAATTTTTTTTTACAAAGTTCCAGGAATAGTTGTCTTCAGTTCATGTAGAATCTTATGTGTTATTAAGTTGAATGTATGTATTGTCAGCAGTTTAGCTTTTCCATCCTGTTTCATCCGCTGTCTTTGCCAGATTGTGTCCTCTTGGACATCTTACTTCCACCAAACTGTAAAGCCATCTTCTTTCCCCACTTACACAGTTTAGGGTCTATTTATAATTTATGGTCTCTGCCAGCTAGACGCTGTGCTGAAAAAGCTGAAGATTTTCTTGCCCTCTCTGTAGTGTCAGCTCTGTTAAGAGAGTGCACAAGTAAAATAAAATTAAAATAGTATTCTGCTTTTTGTATGAAGGATATTAAAAATATTTTTTCAGGTACACCCGGTATACACAAGGCAATTATTCTTTCTCCTGCATAGATTAAATGTTTATGGTAATGGGTGTCAAAATGCTAATCTTGGAAATCCAGAAAGAACAGGCATTGAATTTTAATGATGTTCCAAAATACATAATTTATCATGAGGGAAACATTTTTCCTCAGAAGCAAAATAGTCTATCTAATAAAATAATGATTCCCAGCCATTGGGGGTGGACCTTCATTGAGGCTGCCTTCTGTTTATTCTTGCCATGCTGCCTCTCACTGCCTCCAAACACCCCAAATGCTTTCCCATCCCCAGTCACTGTCACTTGAACGCCTGCCATCAGTCTCAATACTTCTCACTTCCAGGCCCCTACCATGCTGCTGCTGCAGCATTTCTTGTGGATTCGCACTGCTCCTTCTCTGCCCCCCATATCTCCCTCCTTAGGCAGTGTGTCCCCCCTCCTCCCTTTTCTGCCATCAACCTCAGCAGTTCCAGGACAAACCTAGGACTGGGAATCAGGCACAGCTCGTTAGCCTGGGCTCTGTTCTGTGCCACACTGTGCCAGGTCTTGCCTCTAATGTTGGACACTTTCCTAGTGCCTCTAAGCTTAGGGACTGGTATATAAAACATGATAGAGCAAATATCAAAATCTACATGGAAAATTTCAAATAGTGGTTGTTGAACTCTGAAGAGAAGTACAGCACTCTAAAAATAATATTTTTTTTTATGCATCATAAATGCAAACTTCAGTCATTTATATGTTACATTCCTCAATTCTCTTTTCCATTTCCTCCCCAACCTTTTCCCCATGTCCCCTGTTTAAGCAAGTGACTTTGCAGTGTGGATAGAAAGTTAAGAGAAGGTCAGGTTTTGTAGAAGGGAAACTTTGAGAGAGGCAGGTAGTGTGCATATACTGGCGCAGGCAGCTTCAGTTGCAGGACTCTCAGAGCACGGACATGATCAGGAGAGGCAAAATTACATCAGAGTAAAAGGACATCTCATCAGTTACAGCTCATTAAACCCCTATATTAAGAACACCAGTCAGAAGTTAAAATGGCTTTGGTTCTGTTTCTTCCCTCTGTTGCAGGGATTAAACTAAAGAGGAAATATGGTACAGAAAATTAAAGCTACTTCTGCGCAAGAGCTCCCATAAAGGGGCCTCATGTGCTTAACTTGTGTGCTTTCACATTACACTGTCTATTAATTTGTTTGACCTTTTCAGAAGGTCCTTGCCTTTATTAAAGAGACAGTACTGCATTAGAAGTTTTCCTCAAAAGCGAAGTAATTCCTAAATTAATTACTCCTTTGATAGTATTGTTAGACATGAAACAGTAAAGCAAATGTTCCAGACATGAGATCTGCTTCCCCCAAAAAGGGGGAGGAGATAGACTTTCTTGGAAAATTATAAAGCAGACATTTCTTGCTTTTGGTACTGACATGAAAGCATGCACTGATTTGAAGTTCAGGATATTACTGCTGCAGCGTTGTGAGGCTGTGTCTGTCTGCTTGCCAATTTGGTTAAAATCTGTGTGATTACAAGTAAAATTAACAGTGTTTTCAAGCTTTTAAAACATCTAAGCTCTTTAGCAGCTTTTGAGTAGGAAAATAGTCATAAATGTGTTGGTGTGACTACAGAAGTAAGTCATAGTTCTTTCTGGTGAAGCAGAGTTCAACAAAGTGTTCTTGATTTATTTGTTTGATCAGCAAAATGAAGGGGGAGAATAAGATGAAAAACTCGTGGGTCAAGAGAAAAGCAGTTTAATTAAAGCAAAGACCAGGGCCATGGACAGAAACAAAAGGTAAACAAAGGTGTTATTCTCTACTTCCCCTCAGTAAGCGATGTACAGCCACTTCCCGGGAAAGCAGAGCTTCAGTATGTGTAGCAGCTGCTCCTGGAGACAAACGTAATAACGAATGCCCCCTGTCAGTGTGACACTCAGCACTGTGAGGACTGCTATGGGGATACTCACTCCATCTCAGCCAGACCCAATACACCAGAGCATGAATATTTCAATTAAAGAATAACACTCTTGGTTCTTTCTGTTCCATTTGTCATGTTGAAGAGTCCATTTTCTCCAGAATTCTCTGTCAGTTAAGATCCCATTGGCAATTCAGCTTACATTTGCGGAGATGTTTCATCAGAAATGAAATAGAAATAACTTACATGAGTTGATGCTGATTAATCATGTGGGAATCTGGCTTTATTTACAACATACATGATTTCTTATACACCTTTCATTATGCTATGAACTTGTAAAATGCCAGGATTGAAAGAACTCTGTTGTTCAGTTGTCAGAACTTTCATCTATTCCTTGGATTGTACCAGGACCTCTTTCTGAGATTATTTTGAACTATTGGTGAAGAAGGGGGTCTTCATCATTTATTGAATACTCACATTTGATTTCTGGCACAAGGAATTTCCTAAACCTAGTATGTGAGCTTAGGAGAAGTTGAAAAGAAAGTACTCCGGTGTAGCTATGTACATGAAAGTGATTAAGCAGCCAGCAATCTATTATCCATATAGTAGCACCAGTGGAAGTGTAATATATGTGCTAAATAATTATTTATAAACATATTAAGACTTTACTAAACAGTTTTTAAAATATACTCTTCAGTACTAGTGTATTTATATAACATCTCATACAGATACCCAGAGGGGCTGTACATAAAACAATCATAAAATATACAGAAAATATCACCAGCTTACCTTCAGCATATAAAATAGCATTTAGAAATTTCAGGCTTTTCCTCCCCCTACTTCTCTCTCTTTCCGTCTCTCTGATAGAAACTCACAGTAATAGGCCCTGCCATCTGCTACTATATATTTTTCATGAGTTTTAACATTTTGTTTTTAGAACCTGAAAGATGAGTAAAATGTCAAGTCACCCAGAAAATAATCATAGGCATGACAACTCAAATGTTATCTCAGCTTGTCTGTACAGAAAGTGGTTCACAGCAGGTCTGTTGCCTCCCTCTCTGCAGACAGAGCAGAGGGAGCAGGTAGGCAGGTACACCATTGATGTAGCTGATACATTTTCAAACACCACCACAAGACTTCAGCAGAAGATCTCCTGGTGAGAGTAACATGGCTGTAAGAACAACGGCATTGCTTTCAGAGTTCATTTTGAAGGGGAACTTCAGCTTTCCCTTAGAGCTCCATGTTATCTGTGTTATTTGGAGCGTCTTATTGTGACTGCTGGCCTGGTGCAGACACCAGGCAGTCATTGGGGTGAGAAGGTGGTAACTACACCAGCAAAATTAATTCTCAGTGAAGAAGTAGACTCTTGTGTCGCATTATCATAGAAAAGTCATGGATTTTTTGCTACTCTATTCCCTCCTCCCATTTGAAAGCCCGGGTTTGTGACTCTCCTGTCAGCCCTGTACCTGCAGCGTGCCAAGGAGGTATGGCAAAATCTCCCGGCAGGTCCTGTTTCTCTGGCATTTCAGCAGCTCTTTGTTTTTTCTGTTCTGTCTTCCCATCATGCCAAGACTAGGCTGAAGCTGACAAGCTGAGAAGTTGTTAGAAAGGTACAGGCTAAGACCTTCAGCTCAAAAAATGCTCACCGTTAACTTAATTTGGAGGGAAAGAACCGTGCAGCCCCTTCATGCCACCTTGCTGTCAAGCTGCTCTCAGGATCTCTTTCATTCAACAATACGTACTGTTCTCATAAGAAGTGTATAGCCGTACATTTGCCTCCTACGTTTTTAACCGTGCAAAGATAAAATTATTTCATTGAATAGGTTCCCCGCAGCTCAAGGATGGTTTTCATAATAAATCCTCTGCGGATTTGCTACCTTTCATTAGAATAAGAAGTCTCCTCAGTGATCTTTGCTCTCTCAGCCTGTGCAAAAGCTTCCTTACACTGTTGCAAGATTTTTCTCTTAATATGCCACTTCAGAAGTCTCAAGCTTGTTCTCGGTCCATTTTGTGCTTCGTTTTACTCATTCCTTTAGTTAAAGTCCCTTGTTCGCAGGACATTTTTCAGGCTTTCCAGTGAAAGAAGATGGAGCTTTACCTTTCTAATACTGTTCTTTGAAACCTCCCATACTGTCGTTGCTGAAGCTGCATTACTGATGAAGGCAGTGAGAGACACAAGTTACTTCTAGATCTGAGAGCACCTTAAGAAATAGGAGGCAGACAAGTGACAGTTCTTTCACAGATTGAGCTTTGTGATTAATATATATTTAATGAATATGCTTAGGCATAATGTTCTGGTCTGCTGAAACGGTGAACAAGGCAAGTACTACTGATGACTCAGAGTTGAAACCACTCGTGTTTCGTCATGTTGAACAAGGCAAGTACTACTGATGGCTCAGAGTTGAAACCACTCGTGTTTCGTCAGCCGTGTCAGCAAAATTCAATTTTGCAGCCCCTCAGGACAGGGAGAAGTGACTGTCCCTGTTGCTGCAGATCAGCTCCCTGAGCCAGCCAGAGCAACAAGCTTGGGGAGCTGGCTGAGACCCCAGGTGCAGGATGGTACAGGACTGGAGAGCGGCTGTGTCCCTGCCCTGAGCAGTGCTGTGGTTTTGCAGTGGGGCCAGGTGAACATGCTCAGCTCAGGAAAGGGAGTGTTGGCAAAGGTGAGCACAGAGCAGGGTGGTGTGTGGCCACCTCTTACTGGGAGTGGGGAGCTCCACTGGGCTGCTGCCTCGGGCCTCTCTTGAGGAGCCCCCTGCTGTTGTCACCATTTGCCTGATTTTGACACTGTAATGTTGTAGGTACAATAGCGTAAAGAAACAGACTTGGCAGAATTTGCAGGTGGAGATTGTACTTTTGTTAGAATTGATACAGATGAGCCCCTGGAGAAGACCTGAAGAAGAGCTCATATGCCCAAAAGTTTGTCTGATAAGGTGGATATCGCCTCCGTCTGTAAAATGGGCCGTATTTTAAGGAACTGTAACTTGACTGTGCTATGCATATATATATATATATATGAAGCTGGACTTCCATGCTAACATTTTGTTGTCGTTGGCATTCCAGTTAAATAAATAATTGCAGACAAATTACTTGAAAATGTCCAAAGAAACTACAATTATAATTACTGGTTCATATTTTTCAGGGCACGAAATTGTCACTGAATTTCAAGAGTGGGGAGCCTACTGGACCTTTAAACCTTTGAAAATCTCCAGTGATTTTAATCTTTTTGTGATTTTTAAATACATTCCCCTTTCATAACATGATTAGAGTTACTAATTTCTGACAAGGGTATTGCTTTTAATCACTTCATTAAAATCATTGTGCTATAATGTATGTTGACTTTGAAAACTCTTTGAAGGCCTTTGATGTATAAATATTTCCCTTTCTTTCAAAGGCACTGCATGAGTGCATGTGTGCTGTAGCTGGCCACACGCTTCTGATGTGCTGGGTACAGTGTCACAAATCTCCAAAGAGTCCCATGTATTCATAAATTAGCGACTGTCAAGTGGTCAGTTGAAGACAGGCCATTTGGAGGAGTGTGCACTCCAAGTCTCATTTTAGAGGAGGCTTTTTGTTCTTTATTCTTGCTTTACAAAGTTTTATTGTGCATTAGAAAGCTAGGTTTCTTTGTGACTCCTGGAAAGCTGAAATGGTGAACAACAGCAGAGTGTACGGGTTTGGGAGATAACTCCTGAAAGTAATATGTAAATTTTGGGAATGACAAATCAAGAAGAGCATATTGAAATCAAAGAGTGAAGCTGTATCTGATGAATAATAGCTTTCCCATTTCTTCCTGCATGCTGTTTTTTTGTTTGTGCTAATTTAGTGGAAGTACATGTGTGCTGACAGACAGTATGCTAGCTGTCTGAGAAATGAGTCAGAATTTGGGGGAATTAAGTTCTTTGATGCAGAATAGTTTTCATCTAGCTTCTTTCTGTCTTTCTGGATTTTTTTTTTCATTTTCAGTAATTTTGAAACATGACCAAAATGCTGTATGTGTACTTGACCTGATCTAAAGAAACACAGTTTTAATCGACACTGTTCATCCTAGTGAATGGAGCAGTGGCTGGGGATACAAGATCTGAATTTAATTCCTGGTTATGTTCCAGGTTTACTGAGTAGTCAGTGGAAGGTCTTTTCTCTGGCTTCTGCCTTTGTTTCCTATCTCGTGATCCAGGGAGTAAAACAGAATTAGCAGCTGGTTAGCTTTATGAGGAGAACAATTGCATGCTGATTTAAATCTTTAATCTTTATAATGAAAATATCTGTTACTTCGTTGTCATATATAAAGAGCTGTTTCTAAATAGCAAAAACGATTGAAAAGATATATGCCTGTAAAAATACTTATATTGTTATATTAAATTTCTGTGGCAGGTGTAGTTTTTTTACAGATATGTTTATATGTTTGGGTTTTTTTTCAGGCCCTGCTGGACACTCAGAATCTTTTAAGAGCTCAGATTACAAATTTTACTTTCAACCTGGGATTTTCGGGGAAATTTTATCACACAGGTAAGAATGAAACAATGAAATCACTTTAATTTTGATGGTGTTCTTTGTAGTATGAAGAAAGTAGTAATGATAGGGACTCAGCTTGTCTCTTACTGTTACTTTATAATTTAATTCAAGGAGTAGGATATGAAGTTTGAGCTAGCTCAGGTGCTTGCTGCTGGACCTGTCCCAGGAAATGGAGAGAGGGAGGCACATAGAGGAGGTGAACTGGATTTCTCTCAGCATCCATTTCCTGAGTGCACAGAGAATTTAGGTGATAATTTTAGGTGGACTGGAATATCTCGGGATGAAGCACCTGTAATTCTAGTAAGCTGCACCTTCATTAGGTGCCAGTGTGGAACAGTTTGAATTCCTCTTCGTCTTTTTTTAAAAATTCAGTTCCTTTCAACCTGTTGTTGAGTGGTAAATTCAAATGATCAAATGAAATTTCCTGTTGACTTCACTGAGAGATCTGTTAAGCTACCACAGTTTATCCTTCAGGATCTTTTAATCTCTATTGTAGAGATATCATAGCAATACATATTACCCATTATAATAATTTTATACTTAAACCATTGTAGAAATAGGGAGAAGTAAAAGGCAAGGTATTAAATAGCATATGATATAGAAGAAAGAAGGTGCTCTCTACTGAAAAAAAGAAAGAGACACATGCAAAATAGGACATCATCAGAGCCTGGAAGAGAGAGAGAAAAAAGACAAAATAATGTCATAGTTGAAGGATATTAATATGGAAAGAGGGAAGTGAAGTGACATGTTAGCTGAGACTAGTAACCAAAACCAGATTTATTCCAAACCAAAGAAAGATATACAGAGTTTGAATATGCTCGACTGCTGTGCATGTTACATAGCAGAGGAGTGTGTGTACCTCTTCTTGTCCTTAGTTATGCAACTTGGTCAGTATTACTTGTCATACTAAGAAGAGGCAGGGAAAGAAGCCTGTTATTTAGAGCTGAACAGGTGGAGAGGAGAGCAGCTGGAGTTGCAGAGTCTCTGCACAGGTCCCTCTTGGGTTCAGAAGATTTCACCTAGACTTGGTAAAAGTCCAGTTTTCGCCTCTGCAGTCCAGGTGCCATTGGCACAGTTCAGAGAGACTAGAGATGCCTTAACTTTTTCATGTGCAAGGACATCACTTGCTCCATCCAGTCCTGTCCCTTCCTCCCTGTTATGTCTGACCTAGAATAGCCCAGCAAAACAGTCCTGACTGCCAAGTTTGTCACCAGTGTCTCAGCAGGCGAGGTACTTTCCAGACCATTTCTTTTGCCTCAGTTGAGAGATGCTTTGGAGGGAATATGCACATGGATTTCCTGCTTTTGGTTGGGCGGGATTTGGCAAACGTATTGCATGTTTATAGTACAAACCGACCCAGTTACTGGCTATAAACTGAATGAGGTGAGCCTGTGTCTCTTACAGCCTATCCCTTGCTGTGGCTTTCTTCCTTTGATATGTTTTCTTCTCCCTGATCTGGCTATCGTGTGACCTTTAGGTATTCCTGTCACTTTGACAGTGTGTGAACATCACACAGGGCCCCATGGACTCACACGGAGTCCTAAAAGCTAATGATCCTGCAGGGATCATTATAATGATTTTGCAGGAAGCAAAAATAATTGTATTATGCATAATATTTTGAAAAGGCTGCTGGAAAAAATACTTCAACGTATCATAGGTAACGAAAGGAAAAGAAGTTTGAGGAGAGAATTTAATTTGGACAAGGAATATACAAAAAGTTGTCAACATTATTAGTTAAGCTTTTTACTAAGTGGTCTTGTATGCAATTTCTTGACTCTGTCCCTTAGCTACTGATGTTACTGATGTAGCACATGCATGTGAAAGCAACATTGTACCATGCATTGAAGATGCTGTGAAAATGGGGCTCTTGATCTTTTACTTGGCTATAATTACTTACAGAAAAGGAATTTGTACTTCGAAACGTTTCAAATCCTCAGTTCTTTGAATGGTCACGTTTTATTATGCTAATTTCTCTCTTATATTTTCAAGCATTTGTAAGAATATAATAAAAGTGGAGACTTCCGTTTGTTTTTGTTTTGTTTTTTTTTTTTTGTTTTTGCAGGCACTGAGGAGGAAGATGAAGGTGATGACCTGCTGTTGAGGTCTGTAGATGAGTTTTGGTGGTTTCCCCATATGTGGAGTCACATGCAGCCTCATCTCTTCCACAATGAGTCGTCACTAGTGGAGCAGATGATTCTCAACAAAAAGTTTGCCTTAGTGAGTTGTATTTTTTTCCATTTTATGTTGAATTTAAGTATTCAGAAACCATTATTCCTATTTTGTTAGAAAACCAGTCCTTGAAGAATTTGTTTTAATCTCAATGAATTGAAAAAAAAAAAAAAAAAGAAAGTTTTGATAAAATTATTTTTGCAATCACTGAATTTTGTGCTATGAAAATTCTGTTTCTCTACAGTTTGGATTTCCTTCCCAATGAAAGGTTGTTTTTTGTATTACTTTATAAAAAAATTTGAATGGAAAAATTCTTTCAGAATGAAGAATTAATGTGTTCCCATCTTGGAAAGTCAATATAGATTAAAATTTCTTCTATTTCAATATTAACCTAAATAAAATTTTGTCCAAATAACCCATTGTTTAGATTAGAAAAAAAGCCAGTTTTCTGAGTGAATAAATACTCCATCAAAACATGTCAAATAACTTTATGAAAACACCGAGGGTTAGAGTTAATGAAGTGTGCCACAGTTTCACAGATGCTTTTCTGTGGTGATACCTCCTAGCATCTTATATATTCCCTTTGAATCCGCTTTATAAAACATTGTTTTGGAAAGCATTGCCTTTACTAATTCTTTATTCACAGCAAAGCTCTGAAAAAAATGTTTCAGTGAGAACATAAGAAAAAATAAAACTAAATCTTTAGGTATGAGGATACTAGAGAAACAGGCTTACCTTTTCTCTGCAGTTAATGTAATACAATAAAACCAAACCAAACTGCCATACATAGTATGTATGTGTCTGGAGAAATTATACAATGTAAAGACCTTTTAAAGAAGAGTTATATCAGAATATTTCGGCAAACATAATTGTTTGCTGAAATACATCTGCTCTTCCAACAGCCTAGTTGTACCTCTCCCTTTTCAAAATAAACTGGTTGCTCTTTAGCTGGTTGGTAATGTCTTTGTTCCTTGAAAGAGCAGGGGGATTTGAAACGTAAGAACAGAAAACAGTGTGCTTATGGTCATGTGTCAGTGAGTGCAGGAGGAAGGTAAAAAAAGGCCTAGAATATCAAGGAATTAAAATTTGTACTTGAAAACTTTGCTTTTATGTAAGGTATATGCTTGCTTTCTACCAAAGATTTTACCAAGTTTACAGTAAACTGCAGTACTGAGTACAGGCCAGCTCAATTTTACTGTTTCCTTTAAAGAAAACATTTCAGTGGAAGTTAAAACCATGAAAATTTAAAAACCCTGTGTCCAAACTTCCCTTTTTTCTGTAATTCTGTGTACTGTTGCGAGTTCCACTGGAAATTAAATCAGTTCTTGTGGTTCTGATGTGATGCAAAAAGGCCTAAGAAATCCTCTGGGATTATTCTACAGTATGTAACCATTAAAGTATATTATCAGAATAATTAATATTCAACGGTGTTTTAGGTACCTTCACCCGAAATTCTATTTCCTTGGCTACTCAATGCTCTTAATACTTATAGATACTTTATGGTAAACATATACATAGCTTCAGACATGAAGCTACTCATTATGATTCATTTGCTTAAAGCAGTTAGATTAGTAACAAAGATAAGCATCCAGCTTTTTTGAAAGAGGCTGAAATTGCTGGTGCTTTACATATTATCAAACTGAATGTGTATATTGTGTGTGAAATGCTCAACTTGGGAATTACAGTCACTAAGAAATAATGGAGACACTAATATATTGAAGATGATAGGCTCATAATTATAATTAAAGATTTTAATTACATATTTATCACTGCATGTTGTAAAACTTGAGGGAAAAACCCTTAAAGTTGAGACATTTGTTTATAGATGAAAGGAGGTTAAATGGCACGTTAGAGAATGCAATTTCTTACATGTTCTGTAAAGATTTTTCTTTCTGATGTTTATGCCTGCCTAAGTGAAGTAGAAAAGATAAAAGGAACAAGAATTGAAATATCTGTGATGGAATTTAAAGTGTAAAGCCATGTAACTGATGGCGTAAGCATTCTGTATCTCCCCATGCAGTCAAACCAATAGGCCAGATCTTACTCATTACTGCTTTGGCAGATGACATGTAGTGCGCCCCAGCTGTAAGCCAGCAGATGACGTGCTCTCAGGGTGCAGCGTGGTCGCTGATGAGGTGTTTGGATCTTACCCAGGAGCACTACGGCCATGCAAGAATTACAAAAGCTGCACCAGCCTCACTGTGATAAAATCTTACTCCCCCGTATGGGTGCCATAAATTACTAAAGGGAAATAATAATTTCACCAGTGTCTTAAATATTGAAAAATCAGGGTTCTCAACTGTGATTAAACCATACCTGTCTGTTACACATGCCTTTACGCTAAGTTCCCTTTAATCAGGAAAAAAATAGCTTTCTTCGCTTGCAGGCTTCCCACCTTTAAAGTCTCATTTCTTGTGTTTTTCCAGAGCAGAAGCAAATGCTGCTTTTTGTGAGTTCACTTTGTTTTGAGCTGTTAGTAAAGTCGTCATATTGAAATTATAACACGTGTCTGATACTGAATCCTGACTATTTAAGCTTTTTAAGTCCAGTACATTAGCTTTCCTGCAGTAGTCGAGTCCTCCACGAGAAAAGATGAAGAAAGATTATTCTACTAAGTTCGTGCACTCATTTTTCTTTGAGATAGGACTTAACAGATTTTTTCATATTCGTTAGTATACTAGTTTATTCAAAGGAGGAGACCCAAGTATCGACCAACTCGTACCTTTGCACACAGGGTGATTAGAGAATGTGGTGAAGATGACCATAAGAATACAAGCAATATAAAAAAACCTCTTAAACAGAATGTAAAAGTTGTGCAAAGGCGGTTTTCCTAAATCGTTGTAACACAATGACATCTTATGGACAGTGTATTCTGCTAATCAGATCATCACAGAAATGTCTGCTGTGAGAAAAGGTGTCAAAATTCATTAGAGCATGTTGTAAACCAGAAACTGGAAAGAAAAGGTATTGAATGTCAAGAGAAGGTAATACCAGCAAGGTCAAGTGTGTAAACAAGATAAATGACAGGAGTGTGCAAAAGTAAAAGATGTATTACAAAAGGGGTATCTGCCTATTATCCTCAGAATTTTACAAGCGGTTGTCTTTTCTCCTTTTTTTAAAAACACACTAAAATGGTTAAGCAGGTTTTTTTTAATATGGTTTTATGCATTGAGTGGACTAGAGGGAAGTGCAGTGACTTTCTGTGAAATTCAGCTAACAATCCAAGTAATTACATAGGGACATGTAGTGGAAATCACATTTTTGTTATTGTTAACTGCCAAATGCTATCTGTTGTGCTGAATATGTGCCAGTAATTTTCTCTCTGAATTCTTAGTTTGTGAGCAAATTCCTTGCAAGAACTTGAAAGAGTGCAGCTTTCTGTTTAATGTACTGATTGAAGAAATGAATGTAAAATACATCTATATCGCTCTTCCCTATATACTCATAAAATACTTATTAAAAGGCTTTTGTATTAAAAATTCACATTTGATTTTCACCCTGCTGCCTTCCATCTTCCTTATATATCAGTATAATTTGATATCACCATTATTTGTATTTCAGACCTCTTCTTGATCGCTCACAAACAAAGGATTTGCGAAATGCCAAAATATCAAGTTTCTTAAATTTTTGAAAGCAGTCGTTTTTCTGTTACGTTTTAGGAACATGGTATTCCAACTGATTTCGGCTATGCAGTGGCTCCACACCATTCTGGAGTCTATCCAGTGCATGTTCAGCTTTATGATGCCTGGAAAAAGGTCTGGAATATCAGAGTTACCAGCACAGAAGAATACCCACATTTGAAGCCTGCGAGGTATAGACGAGGCTTCATCCACAAAAATATCATGGTGAGTGGTATTTATGATGTTCATATTGCAACCACTCTACCATTTTATGAACAATTTATTTTTAAGTGGAAAAGTGTAGTATCCTGAAAGTTCACATTGTGAGGAGCACATATTGCTGTGCATAAATAGCAAGATGTATTTGACAGTATCTTGTTAATTAAAATCAGTCTGTTGCTGATGATGTTGCAGCTGATGAAGGTGGCCTCCAGGCACCCCGCTGTTCACAGTTAGAGGTTGTTAACTGTTCTACTCCTACTGTTAATACTGGTTCAGGGATCTCAAGGAAAAAAGTCAATTTTGTATCTTTTAACAGAATACTATGGGTTAGATTTTTTTAGCAGGTTTTAAATTTGCATGGTATCGTTAACTGCAAAAGAGTTTTGCCAGTTTATGCCATCTGAGAATCTGGATCTTGGTGCGTGAATATTTTTTCTTCCATTTGAACAGTTCACAGTTGCCCTCATTTTGCTTCTTGCCATACAGAAATGGGAACTGTGCTTTGCATTGTGGCTTAACCCCACAACTAGGCTTTGAGTGATCAGTTTGGATGCAGGGCAGACACTCAGAAGAAGGCTGAAGGGAGGGAAGACGCGCACACACCGTGCCCCCCTCCAGGCTGTGAAACTGCTCTGTCGAGGCAGCCACAAGTCAAATCACACAAGTTTTTGGTAGTTCGGAATTCACAGCATTGTTCGCTGACAATGGTATTTGCCAAAAGGGGTTGTACACGACCAACACGGAAGGTGTTGTGCCATCTGGTCACTGGGGTGTAGGCTATTTCTGATTCACATATTGTCATGATTATCTGAGAAGTGTTTCAAAATTACTTTCTAAAATACTTGATGGTGGGTTAATAAGTAACTTTCTTTTGGAGCATGTAGGAGAGCAGTGAATGGGAAAGATCGTACTGTGTGTACAGTGTTATGCCTCTGGCTGCAATAAGCAGTTTTGGAGGGTCAAGTGCCTTAGTGCAAGACTGCCACTTAGTTTATAACATAATTCTGGTATTGTCCTCGAGTTACCATGGATACCACTTTTCCTAGCAAAATAATAATATTTTAAAGTTTTGATCTATTTTTGGATGAAGCAAACAAAAATGATCTCCAGACATCCAGGAAAAAAATTGACACCATGCAGATTTGAGATACAGTTTGTTCTCCTCAAAGCAATAACTGCATGTAAAATAATGGGTTTGTGGATATGCTCAGGGGGCGTGAAGCATTTGAGGAAGATTGATTGACTCTCAGAATCTCCAAAGAATCTCTTTCATAAATTTTTGTAGAAACATGTCATTTGAAGACACATAATGAGATTTAACACAAGGACACTGGGGCCAGAAATCTATTTCCAAGAACAGTCGTATAAAACCACCTGTTTTGGGAGTCTCAAGCTTTCAGTTCTCCAGGGCAAATGCGTTAATATTTTACATCTGCAAGCCTATAGTGATGAATACATGCGGTAATAAAATCGTCATGTAAGATTGGCCAGAACATTTCCCATCCAATACAGCTTCATTCCCTGCCTCTGTGAAGCATTGTTCTCATATTTCATCGGTGAGATCCAAAGGTTTTTAAAAAGTATATGCAAGTTAATAGCTAACATACAAATTCCATACATTTTCTGACAATACAGAATTTACGATCTGTGGTCACAGTATTCTGTACATTACAAAAAGATGTTGAGAAATGAAACTACAAGAAACAAAGCCACAGTCTATGTCAAGTAAGGGGTTTGTACGTTTTGAAAGTTCAATCTCTTATATAAGAAGTCTTCTAAATTGGAGTAAAATGTTTAAGAACAATCCCAGTTTAAGAATTATATATGAGCATCAATATTCAGCTGTTGGTTTTCCATAAAAAATAGACATAATTTAAATACTCTCCAGTGATTTATTTTCTGAAGTTGACAGAAAATATTTTGAAGTTTTACTGGAAAACCGAACTGCATTTTTTAGTTCTTCCTATTCAAAATATATGTTCTTTGCATGTTTTTAAAAATACATCCTTTTGTTTATGCTACTTCTTATTGCAGCTGGTGTTACAAAACTAGCACATTTGAATGAGAAGCAAGTCTTTCTTATGTGAGCATTATTGGCAAAATTCATCACATATCAGTGTAGAATTATTATTGGTGGTGATGCCAAAGCCAAAAAAAAAAAAAAAAAGAGTTTCAAATTCCAGTTTAAATTTACAACAAAGCCATCTTTCCAATAAAAAGTGGAACTGAATAATACAATATAGATTGATAATATTTCAGATTATGTATCAAATTCTTTTAAAATTTTAGAAATTCTTCTCTAAAGTAACAAGTGATAGGACAAGAGGAAATGTCCTCTAGTTGCGCCAGGGGAGGTTTAGGCTGTATATTAGAAAAAATTTCTTCACTGAAAGAGTGATCAGGCATTGGAACAGGCTGCCCAGATGTGTAGATGTGGTGCTTAGGGACATGGTTTAGTGAGTTAGGTGGTGTGGGTTGACGGTTGGACTTGATGATCCTTGAGGTCTTTTCCAGCCTTAATGATTCTGTGATTCTAAATCTTTGATGACCAGACTTCAAATACATGGTGTTAGGATCAGGTGTTAAGGACAAAATTAGTTTGAGGAGGTTGCTGAATTGTAACTTACTGATTGCAATCGCTATCCAGTTTCAAACAGAATATGATGAATTTTTGGACATTATGATTTCACTAATAAGAAAAATATTGTTTCTTTCAGTAAGCCCTGTTCATTGATCTGACAGTGTATTAATTCAACTAGATTGTTATTGACTTTTGGCAAAGTTGTGATGCCAAATCTATCCAGCAGTTATCACAAAGCAGCAATATCAGTTATGTGTTACTTCTCTGGCATTTAGTATCTCATTAAAAGTATAAACATCTTTGTTTTGTGAATTTATCTTGAAATTTATTTTTTTTTAATAAATCCAGGTGCTTCCTAGGCAAACTTGTGGCTTATTCACCCACACAATTTTCTATAAAGAGTATCCTGGAGGCCCGAAGGAACTAGACAAAAGTATCCAAGGAGGAGAGTTGTTCTTCACAGTGGTTCTCAATCCAGTAAGTACAGTGTAATGTTGAAATGTTTTTTAAAAAATCGGTTAAAGGAGAAGTTACTGAATGCTTCAAGGATAATCAACTGCGTCTCCGTCTCCCAAATAGTAATGATTAGTCACAATGAGCTCCTCTGCTTTTTCAGTTAATTAATAAGATACAATATTACATGTGTTCTGTTAGTTGTACAAAGATAATGTCTATTTTTTTGACAACTGTTTTGTTAGTAATGCAGTAGTAGCAACCTTTCTTGGTTTTACTTCTGCACAAAATAAGAACCCTGAGATTTAATTTTTAAAAGAATTAAAGCGTTAAGAACTGGTATTACTGTGAGATGAGTACCTCAGATGAAGTCCATTATCCTCCTCTGCCAAATTTATGTTGGGAACGCTCATTGATTTGAGAAAGTTCCAGGCAAGGAGTGCTTGCACTTAAATCTGTTTTGAGCATTTTCAGTTGCTGATTCATAAAAGCTTCAAAGAAAAGTTAGTGAACCGCATATTTAATATGTCTGCTTAACCTTTCATATATCTTTAATGGAAGAATAAACAACAAACAAGGCTATGAAACTACAGAATACTGAGACGAGTCCAGTATTGTACTTCAAAATGGCATGGGATTAGGTTAGTTGCATTGCAACTGACTTTTAGACAAGCTTTTAGGTGAGTGTTTCATCCGAAGCCCAAATGGAACATATAATCTACCTGTTTTATACAAACATAATCACTAGGACTCATTTTTTTCAGAACACCAAAGGGAGCAAAACATATTTCCACTCAAATCCTTTGGAATAATAGCCTAAATATTTTTGTGCCCTTCTTTAATCTTCCGTAATTTAATGGAAGTCCAAAGGAAAAAAAACTTCTGTCAGCTACTTCAGCAATTTATATGCAGGTCTATTTTTCAAGACTCAAATTCTTTCAGGCTATAGTTTTGCTTCTTTGAGATAAGTTACTGTGTTTTGTTCTCCTTTTTCATGTTCGCATAGGAATTAGGACACAAAAACTTCACTTCCTCAGCACACATGTGGTCTCCCTGCTAGAGGATGGCAGTAGTCCCAGTCCTAACTTTCGTAATTGTGTCATGTCAGGCACAGCATGTTAACAGAGGTGAGACATGGAACATTCATTGGATGGAGGATATTGGTACCATAGTAATGCCCTGGCAGTGTATGGATTTTAACTAAGAGTTACAAGTTTAACAAATGAGACTTAGAGGAAGACATACAGAAACAACATTATGAGTCAGGACAAACTGTATTTCATATTGAAACACAGCCACAACTTAGCCAAAAACTGGTTTACCATCTTCCAACAGTAGGGCTACAGCAAAATTTAATATGGTTGCTCGGGGCATAAGCCTTTCGTATTAAAAGAATGAAAGGAATGGAGGGGAAGACAAGCAGCGAAACAATCATGGTTATTGCTGTTAATCTTAGAAGTTTAATCATGCTTGCCTAACATCCTTGAATGTGAGTACAGTAATGTCTTTTTATGTGTTACTATGAAATCTTTGATCTATGCATTGCAATGTAGACTGTATGATCACCTAGTTCTGAAAAATATACCTCCAACACAATACAGGCTAAAAGAACAGAAGTTAAACATACTATTTTCTAAGTACAACTGTAAATTAATATCTGGCCAAATTTGCCCAAGACAAATTGTTGCAATCCTTTTAGGGAGTACCTTTGAAAAGATGATGCATCTGGTTTTAAATACCTGCTTATAGACAGTTTCTAAATTTGTAAGCATTAGCCTGGTATGTAATCAATTTAAAGATTAGGGTTTGCATCTTTTTGGCTTTTAAGTATTACATGTATTTATATCATAATTTGCAAGTCAGAGTTGGGCAAAGATTAGGCATTAAAATCAAAACTAAGTAGCTTTAGAAATTTGTCTGATTATAAAATGGTATTTTGGATTTTGTAAGGTTTCCTGTGTTTTCATTAAAATTGCTGGGATTCCTTAACGTGAAACACCTGGCCTTTCAGAGGGGGAAAAAAATCCATTATGAGACAAGTTCTAAACATTATTTTTCACTGATGCAAAACTACAAAGAAGAAATGTTACCTAGGAATCATTACAATGTCAGCTAAATAATATTCTCAACGAGTCCATAAATATTTAGTTTTCAAAAATGGAAAATGTGGGTGTAGATTAATTGTAAATCTTAACAAAGGCCTTCTTTACATTTCCTGGTTTAATTTGGATCGCTGATCTTAAGTGAATATAGTTTCTGAGGTGTAAGTTATTAGACTGAGGCTTTAGAAACTGAGTACCATACACTGAAATAAATGCCCCTAAGAATAAAGTCCTAGATTTCTTTGCAGTTTGGCTGTGTGATGGTAGCTATTCACAAGAGATGCTCTGCTTCCTTGTAGTATGCTAGATCAGCCACCATCTGCAGAACAAACCACAAAAAACCACAGGACCATATGTGCATCACTCAGCTTTTGACATGAGAACCAGCATTGTTGCCCTGTTCCCAGGGCATTGTACAATCAGGGTCCTGCAGGTACAAAAAGCATCAGTCCACACAGGAAATCCTGCTCTATAAACAATCTGCTAGTTATATTTTATATGGGAACTGAGAGTTAGTTGCTGGAGTAGCTAATCTTGTGGTTGGCAAGCTGTGTTTATTTGGTGTGCATTTGTATCCCCACTCTGCTGGTACAATTGCGATCTGATGGTGGCTGTAAAGTGATCTTGACAGCTATGCCCATTGTGTTCATAAGACATCTAGGATGCTGACATGCCACCAAGCTGAAAAAGAGCTTAAGTATTATAACATGCTATCTACTTTTCCCATAATATTTTGTACGTCTGTCTTCTGTTAAAGATCTTGCTAACTTCAGTGGCCCTTAGGCAAGATTGTACTATATCAGGATCTTGCACAAAATGTTTTAAAAAATAAAGGGGCAAAAAAAAAAAGCCTTCAGTGGCCTTGTGTTATTAGTATACTGGCACTATTTTCCACACAGTATCTGTTGGATAATTGGCTTAGAGGGAGGCTGTGTGACTTGCACTAATTTAGCCAGGGAATTCTGTAGCAAAGCCACAAGGAAAACATGGATCCTTGAAGTCTTTAGTGATAAGTATCTTATCCAATCAGACAGCTCTCTGTCTTTGTTTTGTTCAATCTCATTGTTACTTTTTTCCTAGAATTACTTTTTCTTCTGCATTTTTGTTTTTTGAGTAGCAATGGTTTCAGAGAAGAGCACAAGGATGTTTTTCTTCTTATTCCCACTGCTTAGTTAACTCTTCCTTATAGAAAAGAATGTGAATGCCAGTGGGAACAGCTGGCAGCAAAGAGGTATAACCTATTACTAGGTGGTATCAGTACCACATTAGGAGAATCCCGGTGAGATATGATCCTATCAATTAAAAGAAGACTGAATTAACCATATTTGCATTTTAACTTCCTTTTAAAATGTTTAAGGGTCAGGCTCTGCTATGCTTACCTGCATATGCCAGAGTAAATAAAGCTTACTTTATTTAATATGGCATCCCTTTATAAACAAAATATTCTTTTTTCAGTTTATTTATTTAGCATTAATTTCACCAGAAACATTTCAAGATAAATCCCAAATTATTTTTTTCTATATTTAAATCAATGAAAAATCTGTACTGACTTTAAAACATTTTAGGGAGTATTCTTCCTGATAAATTTGTTAGAATCTTCAGTGACTCCAGATTCATCTGTCTCTGTCTGCAATATTTAGTAAAGTTCTTGGATTAATAAAACAAATTTCTGTTAAACATCTCTTAGAATGAAATCGTACCAGTCTCCTAAATAAGTCTTGTAAATGATGAAGCAAGCGAGCAAATAGATTTTGAACTATATATAATGATGAGGTAGATATAGACATGACCACCAACTATACCATTTCTTATTGGGTTTGCTGATAAATCTCTGTCAACACTGAGAAGACACTATCAGCACTTCTGAACCACTCTGAAAATAATTAAACCTAAGAACCAGACCGAACTAGACATAGCTGAACTGAACAGGCCTTTACAAAACTATTTGAATATTTCTTTCTGTCTGCCACTGTATATTTTACTCATCTGCATCTGGGAACATCCATACATATTGCTTCTTTATGAAAATAGGTCTGTACCAGTTAGTTACCTGTCTGTGCCATAGCCGTTGTTTCTGTAGGTAGTTGATGTGGAACATGTACAATAAAATAAGTCAAGTAAGAACTGAGACAGAACACTTCAGGGAGCACTGATACAATAAAGTTTTCAGAGACCTAAGTTACAAATGAGCTTCTTTTATTTTCCACCTGTGTTGCAATGGATTTTAGTGCCAACGCTTGATTAACTGAGAACATAATTTTTAAAGCAACTAAGGCTATCTATTGCAAAATTAGTTGTTTGATATAGAACAGTACTGTTCAATCATCAGCAGGATAAATCTTGAGTAATGCCTTGGTGAGTAGCCGTACTTGTTACGGTAATACATAAACATAAAGGCTGTACACCCTTCATCTTTCCAAAATTGTGACTGGAACAGGATTCTGCTAAGGACAGTGCTGTATATTGCAACGTTTTCTCTAATGATGTACATGTTCTCCCATGAGAGCAGCTATTAGAGATGAGCTATTAGGGCAGCTATTGTCAGAGGAGCCCTTGAAATTCACTCACCTGTCCCATGGGGCTGATGGAGGCTGCAGAGTAAGAGGCAAACATGTTGAACAGCTCTTGTTCTCCTTGAGGCTGCATGACCAGCAACCTAAGCTGATGCAAATGGTGTGTTAGCTTACTCTGTGCTACACAGACAACAGGAAAATGAGTTCACTGTTGTGTGAAATAACTTGTGCATAGTTAAGCCAATTTTAAAAGGCATTATTGCAAACAGTGTGTTATATCCCAGTGACAGAAAGAGAAAGGTTCCTATCTGAGTTTGTATATTTGGATTCCATGGAACGTACACACGTCAGTAATCTTAACATGTGGATCTACACATTTTGCACTGCAAAGTCAGTGGCATTTTTCCCA